AGCGGCGGTGAGTTGCACCTTGGGACACCACCCGCCTACTATCTGTTCTGTCCTGGTTCGCCCGCGAGGGACTCACTAGGTCGATTTCGGCCCCGGCCGGGGAGCAGGCCGAGGAGGAGGAGTGTGAGCTCCATCAACTGCTCTGTCAGGGGTGCTTTGTCATTGCTGTTGGTTGTTACGTCGGTGGAGAGGAATGGATGGCTAGAAAGCCGCCGGTGACACAGGAAGAAACCTGTGCAGCAGTGAGTGGCATGCCATTTCGAACAGCAATCAGTGGACCCTCGCAACTTCGTTTCTCAGCCTCCCGGCGTGTCGCGGTCTCTGACAACCACCCCTCAAGAAGCACCATACACACAGCTACGGGCGGCTCATTGTATAAGTTGGATCATTCAGTGAAGCGAGGTCGCTAACAAACCAAACCTGTGGCGGAGCAAAAGACTGTCAAATAGCTCTCTGTTTGAACGGGGGGTCGGTCTTGTGCGAACAGCAGTCGACCCTCTCGCCAACGTTACTTCTCAACCTTCCAGTGCCTCACGGTCTGTAACAACCACCGCCCAAGAGGCACAATACTCACTCACAGCTACGGGGAATGACTTTGCTGTTGCTGTTGTTTCAGCCGGTGCACAGAGATGCCCGACTGGGGATGACGTGTACGGCTGTAGCAAGTGGAAATAATCAAAGGGCCGCATTTCATGGCCAGCAGTGCAACAAAAAAACTGTGAGAAGAATCTTGACAAGACAGGGTGTTCTTTTTCTTCTTGATCAGAAATTACACTTTGTTTTGACCGAGAAAAACAGCGACCTATAAGAAACACAGCGTAACACTGATCATAAATTGCTCTTCTTTCACCAAAAAAAATCAGCGACCTATGAGACAAACAGCAACACCCGGGTTCTTCCTTGTGTCGTAGAATATTCAGGGCGATGATCCTAGACAGCAGCGGGAGGGAGTTGTTGCCGGTCTCATGCAAGTTGTACGCCCCAAAATATCATTCTCCTCATGCATTTTTTTTTATTCCTTGACAAAAGACACAATGTTCCCGTGACAACCGTGATATTCTCTGCGATGTAACCAGGGCGATGACCCTCGACACTGTCGGGGGGCGGCATAACCTGCCCGAGGTGATACCGGGCGACGAGCGAGAAGAGCTCGAGACGGAGACGGAGGCTAGCTTCGATCCTGTGAGAGGATTTTTTTTTTTTTACGTCTCTCAACGAAAACACACACGTACATGCCGATGCAGCAAGTGATGGTATGTTTATTTCGCGTGGATATTTCTGTCTCATCCTGGTTTGACACGTCTCTTTACGAAAGCAAACACGTACATAGATACGGGGACGTGATGTATGTTTTTTTCGCGTCATCCTGGTGTGACAAGTGCATGGGTGCAGGGAAGAGTGGAGGGGATCAGCGGCACTATGAGCCCAGGCTGTGCAGGCAGCTGTGCCGTGTGCAAGCGTGATGTCACCGCTTCAGTTGAAAGTTTCGGCAAAGCAGCCATTTGAAGAATTCCGCGAAGCAGGCTGTGGTGTTGTTGTTGCGCTTGTCCCGCCGCCCCACCGCAGCACCGCGTAAGCCCCGAAGTCCGGTTCAACTCGGCACGACGGAAGTTCGGTTTAGCCTTTCGTACGATTTGACAGCTGCACTGCAATGTGACGCAACCGAGAGCTCGGCGTACACGAGTCAGTCTTGGACGACCTTGCTCCTGAAACGCCGTTTTTCTACTACCGCGCTGAGTGTTTCGTTTGGTACGTTGAGGGTGGGCCCCTTTGCCTTCTGCACACGTCCGTCGCTCCTTGCGTCTTCTTCTCAGTCTATGCATTCAATCCTCATTCCAGAAGTTGCGATCTCTTGAGTGATCCTTAACTACCTTACATATTTCTCTCGCTGCTCCCCCCCCCCCTTTCCCCTACTCTCATTCGCGTGCCTCCCCCCTATCTTCTTTAGCAACCCAACAAGAACTGGGACAACGGGGGAACAATGGGATGGGGTCCGGAATCCCCACCAGAGAACGGGGGCGCGTCAGGCGGAGCGGCGAAAGGGACCGCGCCGGTAGCCGGAGGAGGCCGGCGGCAACTGGACAAGCAGCGGCTCATGACCGCCGTCCTGTTGAACCGAAACATCGTGGAGTACAGCTCGGGGGCGCGACTGGTTGTTACCAACTTGCCCCTGGTAGCCGACATGCACGCCTCCGAGGTCCTCCAGTACGTGGACGCCGTAGGGTCGTCGATTGCGCCGCTTCTCATGATTCGCGGGGCAGGTGTTGAGGTAGTGACGCAGTACGGATGATAAAGGTTGCTGTTGTGGGGGGGCCGGGG